GGACTCTCACTAGCTCAACATTAAAAAGAAACCAGGCTCACTAAAAAGCAACATCTGCATTACAAAGAAGCTAACAAAAGAATTCCCTTATGATACTTAGGTTCAGCTGCTTCATCTTAGGTTCATCAGCTACATTTTCTTGTTTTGTGAGTACTTATTACATTTGCAACTTAATATATATTTAAGATCACAACACTACGAACCTTCCTCCAGTCTGTAGTTTTGCCACCTTTAGTTAGACACAAAGGAGTGCTTGCTTGAACTAGGGTTGGAGATTCTGAAGAAGGTTGGTGATGTTATTAGGTCATGTGTACTGTAATTACTTGAGCACCACAATTTTTAAATCCTTAAGAACAGGATTTCCTAGGTAGAAGGCAGCAAGTATGCTTTCAAGTTGTCAGACAGACTAAGGGAATAATTTTTGCTCCCAGGAGTCTGCTGTACACCCTGAATCAGAACAAAGTCCTGCTTCATAGAGACTTCGGATTTTTAAAGCATCTCTACTAAACAGAAGCAAATTGTTACTGATTAAATTTTAAATGTTCAGTGACTTTACTGCAAACACAGTAACTTTTAAGTGTTAAGGAACTTACTGGCACGAGTTACCAGTGAGGCTGGTGGTGAGGATGCCTTTTTCAAGAACAATCACTGCAGTGTCACAGTCCTGATCACAGATATATTGAGATTACCTGAACCCCACGGTTCCATCTCAACCTGGACTTTATTTTTTTTTTTTTACAGAGTTTGAACTTTCTCAACAGCAGGAAGTCTTGCCGAAAACATTCTTCTGGAATCGACACTTCTTCAAAATGCATTGACTGATTTTCCTAATGGACTTTATAGATTCCAATGCATTAGAAGGTAACAACACAGCTTTCAAGTGAATTTTTTGCTGTTATCACACATGGAGTCACAGTGGCCACACGTGGCCTTGGCCTCTGTGATGGTGGGGTGTTAATTTGAGAGTTATCTGGAAGAACCCAACTTTGGAAGTGGCGACAAACGAAGTTCTCGCTGTTATCTCTGACAGGCCCTCGATGAGAGGGACAAAAAGAGGCTTGGGAATCAACACAACAGAGACTTCAGACTTCCAATTTTGCCACTGATTTATAGATAACATCTTGGGCATCAGCTGCCTTCTGCAGTTGGCTAGTCTGGTAGAACAGGGACAGTCATCCTGATTTATCTGACGCCAACCAGCGCCGGGATGGATGAATTATTCAGATTATTTAGAGAGCACTCGCAGTGCTGGCCAAATGCTGCTTATTCATGTTTTCCCCACTGCAACAATATATCTTCATCACTAATAATTAACTGCTAATTACTGTTGCCGAGAATATGACAGTGGCATTTACCACCTTATTTTTAATTTCAGTACAGATGCCTACTTAAAAGTTATGTAAATACATGAAATTACAGTACATTTTCCTAATGACCCTGCTATGTCTGAGTTTGATCCTGTTCAATTGTGACTAAAGAACAGTAAAGATGATCTCCCTTCTGTAGAGCCATAGACAGTTTCTGTTGTATTCTTGACACTTAAGTGATGAAATGTAAAGAAGCCACTCTAGGCAGGATACATCTGGGTTGAAGGCCTGCTGATGCCAATTATGCTTCGTACATAATAATGCACATTTTACCTATTTGGAAAAAAATTCACATTTATTTACTGTCAAACAGGTGTTAAACTTTACACTGGATATTAGTGATGGGCTCATTATTAACAGGTTTACACAAAGGGATGAAAAAAGCAGAATTTTGTTGAAACAATTTACATTTCATTAGATTTTTTTTTATCATAAAATAAATTAATTACTAAATATAGGCAGAAGGAATATGGAAGAGTAATAGTTATGTTTTATTTATTTTTTTTAAAGGACAGGCACCTTTTATTCACGAGAAAGCTTGTGAGAAGTGTCCAGTGTCCCCCTTACCCCTTACCACCCAACCCTGATTAAAGACTGAACAGGGAACTGAGTTACAATCTTTGTTAGCTATACCAAATTTGTGCAAGGCTTGGCATAATTGGCTTCTAAAACAATTTTCTCCCAAAATTATGTTTTTTTTGGCAATAAAAATTCAAAAACTTAAGAATAAAAACTAACTCGTCAAAGCAGAACACTGTTTACAGTGAAAAATAAGTGAAAATGGGTAGAAGTTGCATTTTAAACATACTACCGTACTATGAACAGTGTAAGAAAAACAGCTTATAACGTATGTGCAACCAAGAGCTTTTCACAATATTTTCTTCAAACTCTTTAAAATTATTTTTTTAATGACAATTATATTTCAGTTGGACACAAATGTATTTATTTTACCCTAGCAATAGAACAAAATATAATTTCTTTAGCCATTTTTTCATGAGAACGGTTCATTGTACAGTTGAGGAAATATATGAAATAAGGCCTGTGGCTTGATTGCTAGTGGTTAGACATGTATTCAATCTTTGCCCTAATGGAAAAGATTTGCAGTGAACTGCAAACTGATGCAGAATATCTCTCCTGCTTTTGCAAGTCTTGTCAGGAATAGTAAGGTACAGTAAATTTGTCCCACAGGATTTTAAAGCCTACGCCTTGTATATAATACAATGTAGGCCTAGGAAAAAAAACATGGTGCAGCCATATTTACAAATTTAGTTCACAAACTGCTGCAGTAAAATGGCTGGAAAGTGTTTATTTCTCTTTTTTTTTTTTTTATTTCACAATTTTGTTAAATTCAGCAGCAGAAGATATCTTAAATACCTTGTTGGTATTTCTTTTCTTTGTAACAAATAATTCATTTTAGTATACTCTGTGTATATACAAAGTTTTTGTTTTATAAAAATTCACAGAACTGCGAGGTCCAGTCATCTCCGTCACTGGAGAACCACAGGGTCGACAGAATTGTCTCTTCAAGCAGATATGAGGGAGCCTGCACGGGGCAAATTAAGTCTTTTTTTTAATACTTGAACGTGGCCTTTAATATTTCTTTGCTACACTATTAAAGGCTCGTCACCAGTTGCATTTGTCCTTCTCTAACGTCTCCTTCTGGAATACACCCTTCCTTGTTGATGGGAATGATGTAGCCGTCGCTGTTCCCCCTGCTGATCTGATAGTACATCTGGAGCTGGTGGCCAGCCCCTAGGTTTGGCATGCTCTTGTAGTAAATGTCCTCGTTTTCGCTCCTCCTGGAGGGAGAGAGGTCCTCCTCGCCGTCGGGGCTGCTCTCGGGGTAGGGAGAGTCTCTGAGGTTGGGCATGCTCGTGTACAGGGAGTCTCTGTTGGGGGACTGCAGGTGCTCGTCGGCCTCGGCGGTCAGCTGGGACACGTAGCTGTCCGTGCCCTCGGGCTTCACTTTCTTCTGGGGCTGGTACAGAAGGGAGTGAGTCCGCTGGGGGATGAGGGGGGCCTCGAGCTCCTTGTGGTGCAGCTCCAGCCCCGGCGCGTCGCTGTGCATCAAGGAGGAGGCGTCGGCCACGATGGCGTCGTCCTCGCTGCTGCTCCCGCCCATCGCCGCCTTGGCCGGCAGCGCCCGCTCCAGGTTGTGGTTCTTGCTGCTGCCCCGCAGGTTGTTGTGCACTAACTCCGAAATGATCATTTTCTCAAAAGCTGTATCATTCAGGCTTAGTCCACAGTCCACGACTTGCACGCTGTCGTTATAGTCTCCGTTGCGCAACGAGTAGCTGTTGTTGAAATTACCATTTAGCGGTAGAGTATCCATGGCACTTGTATCCCTGGCATTGTTCAGTGAATGTCCTGAAAGGGAAAAGGACACCTCTGGTTATTGCCTGACGCGCTTCTATTACCCTGGTTTTTTTTTTTTGTTCTTTTTAACACAATTCTTTAATGTAGTTCAGGACAAAGTTGTACTCGGAAGTAAAACTCGAGAAAGGTTAGGTTATTGAACATTCCCAAATGTAAACAGTTGCACACCTTATAGGAAAGATGCATTCTGAAAATAGTGATGTGTATTTCCTGTGGGGAATAGTGGCATTTGAATTTCTTAATTTAGTGTCAATTCTGTGACTTTTCCACCAGGAACTGTTCACTCCATGCCCTTGCATATGTAATGCAAAGCAATTCGTTTGGAAACATCTATGTTTGGAAGTACACCACCATGATTTAGAAAAAGAAAATTAACAGAATTTGTCCTAAACGACACTAAATTAAAAAGGAATTAGATCACAGACATAACTGAAGGTAAATGTACAACATAAACCCACATAACTGGCAAGCAACTACTTTAACAACGTTTCTAACATTTTTTCCTGTTGGTTTTTTTTTTTTTTGAGATGAAGTAAAGAAAAGAATGAAAAAAATGGATAAATACAAAGAATTTATGTTAAACAAGGACAGCCATCTTTCACACTACAGGGACCAGGGCCCACAAGCACCATCCAACAACACGATAGACAGCAGGTGGAATGACTCACTTTGGACAACTCACATCATGTCTGTCTGCTCAGGCTATCTGGCCTAAGAGTAGCTGATATATAAAAGAAAGTAAAATGATTTATTGTAACATGATGAAGAATTACTGAGCTTCTCAGCAACTTAGTCAGAGCAAGGGTTCAGCAAATTAGATTACTAAGCAATAACAGCTTTTCTTTTCCCACTTAATGTAATTTTTTTGCACTAATATTCTGTCTGCCAGCAACGGCCCCAGGCCCCTAAAGGTCAGAGTTTGCCTGCAGTCTGCATCAGTCACAGTGACAGCACTGAATGAACCAGAATAGTTAATTAAGAGTTAGGCCCACAGTTAACCATGGGCATGGAAGTCAAATGCAGAAATGTTAGGAATTTCTGTAAGTATGGGTCACAGAAATTAAACCAAAGAATAAATATTAGTTGTGGAATGGGAAGAGGAAATCAGCCATGGCTGATATCTCAGAGCTGTTGGAGGAATGACAGATTGGGTAAGTCTGCTGAAAACATGAAAAGGAGTTTAAGGGGGTGGGAAATGAAGTCTTATGATGATTAAGGTCTTTATGCTTTTGGTTTTGGCTTTTTTTTTTTTTTCAGTAACTCGATAAAGAAAAGGTTTTCCTATAGACACAAAGACATGTAAACTATGACAGCACAGTGCTTCCCAAGCAAAGGAAAAAAAAAAGAAAAATAAAAAAGAGAAAAAACTTTGCAAGAAATTAAACAGTCTGAACCATGGAAGTCAGATGGTGAGAGCATTCCTAGAAAATCACTTTATCTACAGATATGTCTGGAAATAAAGAAAGAATGAAGTGACTTTACTGAAATGAGACTGACCACTGTGAGGCTGCTGCATAATATGCAAGGCTTGGAGGAGTACAAGAGAAAAGTTTTTTTGAAAAAGATTATATGTTTTTCCCATTTTCTGTTTGTTTGTTTTTTTTTTTTAATAATTAAAGCTGCAGCTTATCCTAGAAAATTCAATCCTCTCTGGAAATATTGTTTTCAATTAAAAAGTAATTGCATTTTCTCATGAAAAGATTTTTGTCTTCAACTTTAAAAAATGGAGCAATAATTTCCAAATAAATTTTGAGCAATTTGCAAGTCATTTTGCATTTGTGTTATTGATAAGTCTTCTCCATGTGCACTGATTTACACAGTGATGAGGGTCGTTTGAAAGGTCTCTTTAAGCCTTGATTAAACAACTTTGTAGTTTGGCAATTTCATGTATGTTCCAGGATTTTTCTTGCAATGAATTTAGCTACAAAGAACATATGGCATTTATAAAAGCAGACAACACATGGACCACATGCTGGATTCATTTCCCTCATGAAAGTGATTTAATTCTGTAATTTTAATTTTCTTTTTCTCTGCTAAACAGATATCAAAATAATAATCCAAAATGAGTTTTCTATGATATACTGCAGAGTTAAGCATGCTAGAATATATTCAAATTGGTTTGATGAGGCAAATTTTGTTGCCCACGATCAGGTAATTAATTTTGAAATCTTTCCATAGCCTGTAGCAAGATTACTGTAGGGATATAAAAATATATAAGTAAATTGTGAAGCGTTTTGGCGTGACACTGCTTTGGTTTTAAACAGCAAATTGTTTCAGCATTGCATAACTTGTGTTACCAATAGGGTTTGCTACAGACCTCGTGTGGATTCCCAAAAAAGCAGTATGCAAGTACTTTTTGAATGTGGAAACGTTTCATTTGCAAATTGTGAACCACTTGCCCGCTGAGTCTACTTCATGACCGCTAGTTATGTTTTAATTGTGCCCATTAAAAATCATGCTGAAAAAATTTACATTTGATAGGCAAAGTTAAGTTTTACTCCCATACTTGTCTCTCTGTAGGTTGCTAGAGGAAAGCATAAGGAAAGTAAGAAAACAAGAGAATGAAAATAGAAACTACAGTTCAGTTAAAAAGGAAAACTTGAAACAAAAACTGGAAACAAGGTTTTTATGAGCTCTTTTTCAAAGATTTATCATTCCAGTTACACTAAAGCGATGTTATGACTCATCAAACAGTTTATCTGCAAGATATTTACTGATGAGTTGCACCATCGTTAAAAAAAGCAAATAGACAATATAACAACAAAATGTTAGGTAAGTGATGACACCCTTTATTCCTGCAGAACTAAACTGTTCTAACTGTTAATCTCAAGATTTTCCTACAGGAAAATGATCTACATAAAGCTGCACTATACTATAGTTTAGATCAGTTTGATGCTGGATACAGTTTTCTACACTGGGGTATCCAAAGGTGCCAAGATGCCTTGGCCTTTGGTATTTAATCTGTTCCAGAAGCAGGATTTTCTCAACAAGCTTTAGAGTCAACCTTATATTGCATAGACATGATACCTCTAAGTGATAAATATCTTGAAGATGGGCTCTCGGACCATGTGGTGTCAGTCCTGTAATAGTATATTAAGATTTATGCCACCTGTGTTAAAGACATGGATAATTATTGGTAAATACTGTCAGGGCAAAGGCATTACTATAATATAGTGCAGTTTTACAAGCTGACATTGGCAATACTGTATTTCTCCAAGTGACAGGAATTCAGACACTAGGGCTGGGGGGTTGCAACTCGGGTTTCTGTCTGGGGGGGAAAAGAGGGAATGTGGAGCGAGCCAAGAAAAGCAGTTTATTCAGGAAGTAGAAGCACACCTGGTGAGTTAAACACAGGAGCTGAAGGGGCATTACATACAACTGTTTCAGCCAGCAATGTGTTATAGGGGTTGTTAGTGCCGTGTGGTCGAAGAAGAGGGTTTGTTAGTAGGTAATTGCCAGTCATTCCTAAAGCAAAAGAAACAGAAAAAAAAAAAAATGTCAGTTCTTTAATTTTAGTCTGACAGTTTCAATAAAGAATATTTTATATTCCTCATGAATCATGTAGGGCTTGTCAAACGTAATTCAGCTGAAAATTTCTGGATGTGTTTTAGCTGTGTGTTTGAAATGGGAGCAGGAAAATACAGTTAGATTCCAGTAATTCACAGGTGCTGCCCAAATCCCCAAAGTAAACATCTAGTGAAAAGTGATATTTACTGATGTATACAAAATCAGCTACACCAGAATAGCAATTAAATGGGTAGAGATCCAGGTACTACATAAAGCTATTAGAACTTTAACAGTGAGCACATGGAGCACTTTTCTGTCCAGAATGGAGAGAACTGAATTTCTACTGAAAACCCTCTTCTGACAGGATCAGAGTTGTTATTCACTTTATTAAAAACACACAGAGAGTGGAAGGGAGTTGCTGCTTTCAAACGGACAGTGGATGATAAACTGCAAGAAGCACATCTTAGTATATGCAAAAGTATGCATGCTGAGGGGAAAGCAAAATATTTGCTCTAGGAAATCAGAGCATTCACATTTTCTCCCGGGACATTCATGCTGCAAATTTATCTGCCAGGTTAAAAAAAAAAACAGATTTCCTCGAATGACAAATTTCTTTAAACAACCAGTTTACATACAATATAAGACAAAGCAAAACACCACACGAACAGATTTTTTTAAACCCATTTTACACGTTGATGCAACACCATTTAAACAACCCTCAGAATAATTAGAAAAAAAACCAGCGTATTTTGAGACATTATTAAAAAGTCAATTAATCTCTGATTTCTAGCTACTACAAGAAAAACGGATTGGAATAATGACCATAAAAAGCCACACACGAAAAGATGAGTTTAAAAAATTAATTTAAACTTTTCAATAAAGCAAAATTTCACTTTCTATTGCATTGCACAGGGTCAGAGTATTACAGACCCAAGGACAACTAAGGAGACAGCTGTATCTTTATAGTATGGATATTTTTTTGGGCAAGGAATGATAGTATATATTCCAAATATTAATGCTTTTGTACTACTTACTAGCGGAATAAATACTTAGTAGCAGAAATGAGCAGAAATTTCTGAGATTCCAAGAATTACTGTCTGACTCTGCTAATCTTATTTGAAAGTTTGTATCAGTGATCAACTAAAAAGCTTTTATCACAGCTTTTTTCAGTTGTAATGTACTTCTTACTAAAAATACTAACTGAAATATATTTTGCCAGTTTTTTTTTTTATCTTGGTTAAAATTCTTAATTTTAATTTATAGTCAAGAATTTTTTTCAATCCAAATTGTTTTACCACCTTTAAAAGCTTGATTTTTATTTTGAAGGAAAGATTACACTTGCCATTAATTATTAGACTACTCTTATAAGGATGTACCAGTGAGATAGTGACAATCTCATGACTGAAAAGAGTTGATAGCAATTTTTCTAATCATGGCAGAACATCTCCAGTGACTTGAGACTGGAACTCAGAACAGGGAAAAGCTTTCAGGAGCTCAGCTCAGCTCTGCATCACCTGAGGGTGTAGCATGGTCAGAGCAAACCTCAGGAGTCAGAGGCATCAAATCGGGGTGAAAATCCAAACTTTTATACAGTGTGGATTTATGGGATTTTAATAAGGCACTGGAGGGGAACTATCTTCTTTCTTGGACATGAAAAATACACATTTTCTACTTAATTTTTGCCAGAGGAACATGCAAGACCCATAATGGGAAGGGGGGCAGTGAGACACAGGTCTTGACACACTGAAGAGCAGAACTAGAACCATCCTTCCTGCCGCGTCTGCCTGTGCAAATACCACAGCTTTGACTTTCCAAACCAACCTGAGTCAAGCACATGCCCCTGCCATTAAATCCTGAACTGGAATTTTCTGTCTGACACTTCCTGAGCTGAGCAGGAGCGGGTTGCAGTGAGACCAGGGCTACATGATCTTCACCTGGGGCCGTAGGTGGAGGACAGGCTTTGGACCTGCCTGGCACAGTCTTCTCTCTGCTGCTCAAACTGCCCTAAAAACCCAGCAGGGAGGGCAGAGAGGAAGGGACAGTCTGCCTGGGTTAACACCCTTGTGTTCTACCTGGACACGAGAACAATGTTACAGATTTCAAAGTCTGTTTGAGTTGAGAAGTTTTGAGGGTTTGACTCCTCTGGATTCTATCCCGTGTTACAGATACGATGCTCTCCGAAATAGAAAAGATAAATGCTTTACAGACATCTTTTGCATAGAAATGATATCAATTAGATTTCACTGGGAAAATTTCTGCACCTAAAAATCAGTCAAATACGCATTAAAATGTTACTGCACTCATATTTCTGTTTCAGATTTAACCTATAAAGGTTAGGAAAGATTTAAAATTATGATCTTGCTTTTAAGCTAAATTATTGATGAAACTTATTTAAATACATTCCCATGAATGGAGGAATTCAGCTTCTATAGCAGGGCCAGTTGAGGGAACACTGTTTTAAAAAGTGCTGGTGGATGACTTTAAAACTCTGCTTTTAGAGAACATTTGTTCCAGATTTTTTTATATATTTTTTTTTTTTTGGAAAACATTCTTTTCAATTCTTCTGTGCTAAGTGATATAAAATCTGTATAAAATTTAAGGATTCTAAAACTGAAATGTTCCCAGTGACTGACCTTGATTAAGTGTTGAAGTGCTGTTGATGTCACCTGAGATAAAAGACGATTCAGATTGTTTTCTCACAGTGTCATTCCACATCCTCCTGATACGACTCTGTTAACACAAAGCAGTGAGACAAAAGCATAGTAAGTTATGAA